TTGTTAGGTTTTAATTTTTGACTTTTAGAATGTCATTTTTTATTTTTTCAGGTTAAGCCATTTATTATTGTTGCTATTTGGGTCTTGCCATATTGGTTCATTGTCTCAGATTCACATTGGTTAAGAATTTTCTTTTGTTCTTAAGTTTATTTTTCATTGTATTTTCTATAATTTTCTTAGTTTAGTTTCTTTCATGTCTGGTTTAATTTGTTCTATTTTCGCAACAGTTTTGCTATAGTTCTGTAATAATGTTTATTTTTCTGTGGATTTAGTTCAGTCACCTTTAGCTGCTGCCTTTCTTGTTTTTATTTCCTCATTGCCACTAATCATCCTAGTCTGTTCACCCCTGATTAGCCTTTAATTTGCTCACGTCAACCACTTAAATAGTTGTCAGTTTTCTTTTTTTTGTTGTTACTTTTATTAAATTATTATTATTAAATGTTGCTAATATTAAAATATTAGTTTTCAGCTCACTGCTTTGCCTCCATATGTGTGTCTGCTTATTGGTTCATCTAAATTCCACAGTTCCTTCCACATTAAAGGTTGTTCCAGGAGAACTAAAAAAAAAGGACCAAGTGAATTATCTATAGAAGGAGCTTAAGCCTACTTCCAGGTGTCTCAGCAGAACAGAACGCCAGGCTGATGTAGCTACTAGCAGAGTGTGGACAAGTGCTTATCGTGCACTCCAGCAGCCTAAGCCTATAGCAGCATAACTACAGTGATTGGTGTCATGCTCTATCAAAAATGAAGGTTTTAAGCCTAGTTTTCAAAGTAGACAACATGTTTGCTTCAAGCATTAAAACTGGATGTTACTTTCAAAGGAGAGGAGCCTACAAGCTAGGAAAGTTAGATCTTGGTTCTAATCATCACACATGTTTAACATGTTTTGATTTTAATTTGGAAAACTGAAAAACACCATCTATTCATTCATGGTTTTGGCTTATCTCATTTGGGAGTAATTTCTATATACAACAGACCGGTTTACACTCTGCAACATCACTCATAACACTACGATTGTCATGATCTGGCCTGTTTGCTCCTTAATTAGTAATCCCTTTCACCTGTCGTTTTCCCTCCCTGCCTCAATTATAATTTATTCCTCTCACCTGTTTCCTCTGGTTTATATTTATTTCAGCCTGAGCATTCTGGGCCAGATCATTACTTGTCTTTCTGTCAGTCTGTTTGTCTGAGTTTTTGCCCTGGTTAATGTCCTGGATCCTAGCAGCCAGTGGAAAGAGGGTTTTAGTGTTTGTCGCGTCTTCTGATTGTCCACTGTTCCTCCCCCGCGGAGTCCTCTGGGTTTTTGGCTCAATATGTGGGGAGGTTCAGTTTTTATCTCAGTAAGCCTGGCTCCACGGAGGAGACCAGTTTAAAGTCCTGCTTCAAGTTCCGGTCCCACGTCCTGTCTCAGCTACCCTCTGCCAAGAGCCTGCTCATCTGCACCTGATCCTGTCTGCTCCTGTGCGTGACTGCCTGGTCTCGCTTCTGGTACCAGTCAGACTCTGAACCCTCCTTGGGAGCCTGTGGATGCCTGGAAGTCTGGATCCTGCCACCTGTTTCTGTTCCTGCCTGATCTGGATCCTGCCTGTTCTGTCTGTTCCTGTCTGTTCTGAACCCCTGATCAGGATTGGCTTCCTGCAACTCCTCCGGAGCTGCAGCACTGGGGACACTCTGGGTGACACGATCCGCGTCAGCTGTCAGCCCATCGGCTGGATTGTACCCCTCTCAAGGGGTATGGACTGAACTCCTAAACCAGGTAAGTGACTCACTGAGAACATCATCTTCAGTCAGATGATCATGGTCACTTACCTGTGTTTCTCCCACAGAGAATGTCTGAGATTGGGCGGGGCCCCGCCTCCCTCCTGCAGCGTTCGCGAGCCAAGCTCCACTTCAGTTTTTGTTTTATTTTAATTAAACCTTTTGAACTTTCCTACTGACTGTCTCGCCTTGAATACTGGGTCCATCTGTCCTCATTTCTTGACAACGATGATATAGGCAGCCAAAAATACTCAGAGTAAACACCTGTCAAGTAATAAAACACAGATTTGTGAGTAAAATATGCCATTGGGTCTTAATGTGGATTCCCCTCTTGGTTGTGCTTCAAATGAGCACTGGAAAAAAATCGAAATCCATATAAGTCATTTATTCTTAAAAGAAGTGCATTTGTTCTTGGATTGAGGACATAAAAGAGACATTTTGCCAATGGAACGAGACAATTTGCACTTAAAATAAGAAAACACAACTACATTGTCTTATTTAAAGTGAATATTATCTAATTATCTTATTTTAAAAGTAAAAATACTCATTCCATTGGCAAACTACCTCATTTACCTACTCAAATTAAGGGTAAATACGCTTAATTTAAGAAGTATTTTACTTTTTTCTAGATCGTTTTTCCAGTGAGAACATTTAGCATTTAGTCATGGATATGACTCTTGCTTATTAATCCATTATAACACAGCTATTCACAGCTTAGGGGGGCATCTCATAAATATTTGCATGTGCCTCAGTATGTGGGAAGCTTCAGCACCTTTCAGCGTGAAAGCCTTTTATCATCGACGTATCGCTTTCAGCAGCTAATAAAGCCGTAAACGAGGTGCTGTGTTGTCCCTGTTCTCAGAGAAACGTACCAACCCACATCTTTGCACTGACAAAAGGAGCATATTCTCTTCAGGTATGAGGTCAAATCAAACAGGATGGAGGTGTAGAAAATCAAGACATACTTTCATATAATTTAATAATTAAATGTTTTCATATTTCTTTCATACGACCGATACATTGGTGTATTTGCCTTTACTAGTAGTATTGAGGCGAATGATTAGCTATTGAGTTGCCAGCCAATAGACATGACTGTCTGAAACTGTGGCTCACCACAGATATACGCCTGAAAGTGCATATAAGCAGAAAAAGATAGCTAACAGGACGAGCGTGTAGGACAGTCTTACGTAAACATATCACCGGAATGATTGACATTTAGGAGGACCACTTATTTAGATGATCCACCCAGAAATAAAAGATCATCCTCCAAACCTTTCCTTTAATTTCAAAACAAAAATGCCATTATTTTAAACTTGATTAGCTAATACCTGCAAAAACAGATTGATCTAAGTAGAATTAATGTAAAAATGTTTACCTATAAAAGTTAAATAAAGTGCCAGAGACTATTTTTATTTCTATCATGTAAGGTGCTGAAATCAGTCCCCCAGCAGGTGGTGCTATTGTGCTGTTTATTTTCTTGGGGAGGTTAGGTTTCTGAACTTTTGCAAGTAAAGACAGATTAGAGTCATTTGTCAGCGTTTACCAGACGAGGGAAAAACCTCAGTCACATTTCAGCTTCTAACTGGAGCTACAGAAAGATAAAACAGTTAATCAAAGTGTTTGCTCTGAGGTTACATTAAAGGTTTTGTTTTCTGCAATAAAATATCCTAGATAATTAGTAAATGAATAGATGCATTTCTGACTTACATTTTACTTACAGAAAAGAGCGAGGAGCATTTATGGCTGATGATCCTGTTTTTCATAATAGTTATTATATATGATACAATGTATCCTATGTTTTAGTGTTAGCATAAAAACCCATATTTGTATTATAATTGTATGGAATGTAAAATATGTACCATCACATATAATAGTTTTATTTATTTTTCTGTACAAGCATTTCGTTAAACGGCAGTATGAACCCAAACTTATCCTTATTACTCTTATACTCCGATATTCTGCTCAAAACTATTTTCACATTCTCTCCTATATTATCTACACGGGCGGTTCTAGACAGGGGCCAACGGGGGCCAGGGCCCCTGTAGATCAAGTCCTGGCCCCTGTTATGGCCCCTGTACTTAACACATAATACTCAAAGAAATTCTAGTGATGATATGCGCTGAAACAGACATGGTTACTGATAGATCCTTTGGATCTATTTTATTTTTTTCTTTACAAATTCTGTTTTATTAACTGTTTAAAAACATAGCATAAGTGGTATTGAGATAGGGTCCCAGTTTTCATCTGCTAAATGCTTTTTTCCAAAACAGATGTAAAAAAAAAAATACTTTTTACAGCTAATTTTAACAGTTTTTCTTATATTCTAATTCAGATTTTATAGAAAACTGTAATTGCAACTTAAATTAATTAAAAAAAAAAAAGTAAAATTCCTAAATTCTGAATGTATATTGACCTATTAAGACATTTAGAATTTTAATGAAACCTAATTGAATAGAAATTTCACTTCATGCAGCTATCTTAATTTATTTGAATCCCTTGGCCCCGTTGAAAACACGCTGGCCCCCTCCTGGCCCCCCTGGTCCATTTGGTCTACAACCGCCACTGATTATCTGACTTTTGAAATAATAGGTTTCTGTGCTTCTGCATTGTGAAATATCCTTTCTTTTTCTTAATGTAGTTTTGTGTTTCACACCATATATTTCTATTTATTAATTCAATGGGGATTAAAACCAGTCAATAATATAAAATAATCGACTTCAGAAAATATATTTTTTCTCACAGTAATGCTCTGCTGCTATTCTACTAAAGTTTTTAACAAAGGAAAGTAGAGAGGAGCATAGAGAAGGTTTAGAGTTATGGTATTTTTCCGACCTCTGACGCGGAAACTATCTGTAGGATGAGCAAAACCCCCACTCAGTGAAACCTGATACCCAGCAGATATGAAGAGACCAGGCAATAAACAAACCCTCACATCGTAAATAAACTCTCATAGGTGACGAAATGGTTTCAGAACATGGAGAAAAACACACTTTTCTGCTTTAAATATGAAAATTACATGATAAAAGGTCTCTAATTCCTGGGATGTTTTTGAGCAAAACCAACAACTGGCTTGAAAAAAAAAAAGCACTATCATGTTTGCTGTTCATATCACAAGCGGTATGTTTTCATGAGTCATATTAGGGAATTATTATCTTCCACCTCCTGACTGTGACAAATGTATGTCATCCTTATTAATTCTGTTTGTTAAACGTGACCTTCTTTTAGATCCCAGATAAAATTAGTGACCAACAGGTTTTTCTGCTCCAGGCTATGAATCATGAACAAAGAAGGTGTGGAAAAGCAGCTATAAAGACAGAGAGCAATGCAAACTCCTGTCCAGACTTGACAGGCCTTCTTCCCTTCAACAGCAAAAAGGTAGGAGACGATCGACACGTTTACTTTAACGCTGAATGAAAACCGTGAAGAAAATCGCTTTATTAGTGGGAATTAAGTTTTTAAATCAACGTTTTTATTAGTTGATTTGATTGTTTTACACTTTTAAATCTATATGACTATATATGATAATATATAAATGTAACAGTTTCTTCTTGTTTATAGTGCTACTGTCTAGTCAGATCCCTTTTTTAAAATCTCTTTTTTGTTTTTTAGTTCAGTAAAATGTTAAAAACTAAATTGCAACTTTAAGGGATTTTTATTGATGTAAAATCCTTGATCTGGACTTTCTGAGCTTGTAAGAGCCTATCTGAGGATGAAACTTATATGCCTGGATTTACCAGTTTGGCTGCTTTTTCATCCTGTGAATGTAAAACAAACTGTGCAGTTCGCTGCAGTTAGTCACTGTAATGTCCCTCTTGGTGAAATTTATTTGCATATTTCTGGATCAGGGCTGCTTTTATTTACTCGACATGCAAAGTCCTGCTTCGTGTAACAAAGGCGAAAAGAAAGTGTGGCTTTTTTCTGCGGTTTAAACTTTATAAACACCGTCGCCCTGCTTTTCTGCTTGATATCTAATATTAAAATGTTGTGCGTTTAACTACCAAAAAGGCAGCTCAGTCGATGTTACAAGGTTTGTACTTTTATTTTTTTTCTGTGCTGAAACTCCTGGCTTACTCAACACAGATGACTCACCCTTCCTGGGAAAGTCAAAATAAGCTGACACAGGAAAGCTGGTGATTCTACGGAAGAGGATTAGGGCCACTGAAAAAAAAAAAAGTTTACTGATTTTAAAAGTTAATTACAATTTAGTATTGGGAAAAAGTCAGAATTCTGACTTTTTTCTCAGAATTCTGACTTTTTTCCCATGTTAAACTGAAATAAAATTTTAAAATCAGTTAACTTTTTTTTTTTTTTCCAGTGGCCTTAATCCTCTTCCGTATGATTCAGTTAATCCAACATGATTAAATAATCATTAATCAAATGGCTTTTTAATCATTGAGAAATTCTCTTTTAAAATAGCAGCCTCTGTAAAAAATGTTGGCGAAATATTTTTGAACCTTTGAGCAGGGGCGGTTCTAGTTAAAAGTTAAAAAGGGTGCCGGGGCAGGGCTAATGGGTTTTTTTCATAGTGGGAGAGAAAAAAATCATAACAAGTTCATACAAATTTGTTAAGTTATGAAGCTTAAAAATTTGTTAATTTATTGATTAATCTGAATTTAACTATGATTTCTCAAAGTTGGTATTAAAGTGATTTAAACTCAACCATAGAGGTGTACCAAATCTTAACACGGAGGTCTTCAAGAGGGGGTCTGCGACCCCTAGAGGGTCCGCAGAGGTACTGCATGGGGGTGGCGAAAGGTTTGGTTAATTAGACTTTTTTTTTATATATATATTCCCACCTGCAATTTTTTCCTTTAATAGAAAAATCTTTAGATCTACATTAACATGAATTCAACACACTGTAGTAAACAGATATATGGGGGCAGAAGAGCCTGGCTGGCTCAGATGGTAGAGCATGAGACTTTTAATCTCAGGGTCATGGGTTCAAGTCCCATGTTAGGCGTGCAATACTTCGCAGTGTTGTTTGGTAATCAGTTTCCATTTTGTTAAAACAATGGAGGTTGAATTTGTTCAGAAAACACAGTAATCCAACACAGCTGTCCATGAGAACTAAGAATCACACCAAAGCCAAGGCGTAGAAAGACTTTCATCCACAACTGTGCCGCCTGCCTGTGAAAACTAATAGTGCCTTTTGTAAGAATATGATCAAATGTGTCCACCCTGCACTAATGTAACCTGACTCCGCCAGATAGATTTGCTCCGCATATCCATCTGGAAACCTTCCGTTTAAGTAATTTTGGGAAGGGCCGAAAATACTGGTTAGCTGATTGGCCTATGTTGGTGATAGACGGGCCAAATAAACCAATCAGATCAACGAAGCATATGACGTACTAACAGAGCGACGACGAAAACACAACCACAAGAAAAAACTCTTGCCGAAACCAGTCGGGAGAAGACCAAAAACGTCTTTTCCTCTGAGAAAAGCCTCCAGAGCAGTGTTTTGCTCTTCTTTCAGTGAAGAAATACTCTGTAATTCCGATAAAACTTGCTCGATAGCCACGCTAACGCTAGTTTCATCGGCTGAAGCCGCCATGTTCTTTAGACTGAACTGTCGCGCTTCTCGTTGCGTCACACCTCAACCCGCCTCAAAGCCAAAGCTGATTGGACGTTAGTTTGGTGAACGGCTCCAAATTTTCTTCAACGGAGAGTCTCCAGACTGATCTGCAAGTGAAACCTTGAAAGCTCGCGAGATCAGGATGGTCTCACGAGGCTAGCACTAATCTGCATCGTCTCAGAATACAGGTGCTGGTCATAAAATTAGAATATCATGAAAAAGTAGATTGATTTCAGTAATTCCATTTAAAAAGTGAAACTTGTATATTATATTCATACATTACATACAAACTCATATATTTCAGATGTTTATTTTGTTTAATTGTGATGATTACAAATGACAACAAATGAAAATCTCAAATTGATCATATCAGAAAATTAGAATATTACTGAAGACCAATAAAAACAAAGGATTTATAGAAATGTTGGCCAACTGAAAAGTATGAACATGAAAAGTATGAGCATGTACAGCACTCAGTATTTAGTTGGGCCTCCTTTGGCCTGTATTACTGCAGCAATGCGGCGTGGCATGGAGTCGATCAGTCTGTGGCACTGCTCAGGTGTTATGATAGCCCAGGTTGCTCTAATAGTGGCTTTTAGCTCTTCTGAATTGTTGGGTCTGGTGTATTGCATCTTCTTCTTCACAATACCCCATAGATTTTCTATGGGGTTAAGGTCAGGAGAGTTTGCTGGCCAATTTAGAACAGGGATACCATGGTCCTTCAACCAGGTACTGGTAGCTTTGGCACTGTGTGCAGGTGCCAAGTCCTGTTGGAAAATGAAATCTGCATCTCCAAAAAGTTGGTCAGCTGCAGGAAGCATGAAGTGCTCTAAAACTTCCTGGTATGTGGCTGCGTTGACCCTGGACCTCAGAAAACACAATGGACCAACACCAGCAGATGACATGGCACCCCAAACCATCACTGACTGTGGAAACTTTACACTGGACTTCAAGCAACGTGGATGAAGTGCCTCTCTTCTTTTCCTCCAGACTCTGGGACCTTGATTTCCAAAGGAAATGCAAAATTTACTTTCATCAGAGAACATGACTTTGGACCACTCACCAGCAGTCCAGTCCTGTTTCTCTTTAGCCCAGGCAAGACGCTTCTGACGCTGTCTGTGGTTCAAGAGTGGCTTGACACAAGGAATGCGACAGCAGAAACCCATGTCTTTCATACGTCTGTGTGTGGTGGTTCTTGAAGCACTCACTCCAGCTGCAGTCCACTCTTTGTGAATCTCCCCCACATTTTTGAATGGGTTTTGTTTCACAATCCTCTCCAGGGTGCGGTTATCTCTCTTGCTTGTACACTTTTTTCGACCACATCTTTTCCTTCCCTTCGCCTCTCTATTAATGTGCTTGGACACTGAGCTCTGTGAACAGCCAGCCTCTTTAGCGATGACCTTTTGTGTCTTGCCCTCCTTGTGCAAGGTGTCGATGGTCGTCTTTTGGACAACTGTCAAGTCAGCAGTCTTCCCCATGATTGTGTAGCCTATAGAACTAGACTGAAAGACCATTTAAAGGCTTTTGCAGGTGGTTTGAGTTAATTAGCTGATTAGAGTGTGGCACCAGGGGCCATCAATTTTGAACCTTTTCACAATATTCTAATTTTCTGATATGATGAATTTGAGATTTTCATTTGTTGTCATTTGTAATCATCAAAATTAAACAAAATAAACATCTGAAATATATGAGTTTGTATGTAATGTATGAATATAATATACAAGTTTCACTTTTTAAATGGAATTACTGAAATCAATCTACTTTTTCATGATATTCTAATTTTATGACCAGCACCTGTAATTTACAAGCAAAGCAAAAATAAATCTAATTACACTTCACCACCAGCAATGGAGAACGATTACATGATTTTATCAGCTTTTAGGGCATTTAGAATGAAATATAGAGGTAGAAATAACTTTGTCACTTTTCGAGAGAATGCTTTTAAGGGGGCCTACTAAAAAAAAACGAATAACAAAAAGAACAAACTTTATTTCTCTGATTTAATAAAAAAAAAAAAGCAAAAGTCTAAATTAGAAAAAAAATAGTAATGTACAGATTCTGTAAAAAAAAAAAGATTACTTGAGTATTATAGCAAAGTAAATGTGTTAAGACAGGGGTCTTTAATATTTTCCAGGCCAAGGACCCCCAAACTGATGGTGAGATGGAGCAGGGACCCCTTAATTATATATATTTTGTATGAAAATTGTGTTATATCAACTGGTCCTATAGTCACTCTATTACAGATGAAATAATGTAACAAAAGTAATTTGCTGCTGTGTCTGAGGCGTCCAACCTTTTAAACGATTCCACTGGAACTTTCTTCAATATGAACCAAAACCATAAATCACATAAGACAATAGGGGTTTATCTAAATAATAATCAGTCTATACAGACAAGTTAGTATTATAACGTGATAAGTTTCACCAAACATAGCGTTACATTTTGTTTTATTTTTACTGGTCAAAAAAGAGATTCACTTTAACTTCTCAGACTCACAGTTCCAGGCAAAATTTAACTTACAATTCTCGATTTCCCAATGCACAGAAATTTACCAGATTGCAGAAGTTCTAGAGATCCCAGGTTGCTAAGATTTTAAAGTCATGCAGAGGTGACTTGAACATTACTTTCTCTGGCATCATTACATTAGTAGACAGCTTAATGTTTCAGAGGAGCACAGAGACAGAAACTGAGACAGCTGCAAATTTAAAGATGAAACTGATTTATTGAGATATGCAACATGCAATAAAATCTCTCTGAGAAATATTTTACTAGAAAAAGCATGTTATGCATTTTTTAAAATGCACCTTTGTCTTTTGTAATTCAGACTCAGAAGTAGTTGTGCTGCAGAGCCTAACTCTACAGTTATAATATACAGTAAGAACCTAAAAGACTCAAAGCCCAGACAATAAATTAAAAATTAGTTAATCAATAATTTCAAATAAAACCTTTGACACTCAGACTTTGTCTGTCAAAGGTATGCGTGGGACAAAATTTTCAATTAGATTTTGCTGCATATGATACAGCTGAAAGAAAAACGATCCACCCAACTATTTGGGAATCTTAACTTGCACAGTATTTGTACCTTTCAGTTTTTCATATTTTTTTATACAGATATAGATAGACACACAGACAGACTTAGACTTAGACTTGACTTTATTAATCCCTTGGGATTACTCCCTTCGGGAAATTGTATTTCCAGTAGCAGGAAAAATTGCACATACAAGAAAATAGAGGATGTTTAGTCACAGTATATACAATAGAAAAATAAAATCAATTAAGGAAGATGTATTGGGGGATGAGGATAGACAAATAAATACAGAGGGCTATAGCAAAAACAATGACTTAAATTAACAGTTATGTAGTGTATTGCACTTGAATGGTTGAGAAAAAAGAGTGTCCAGATTATAAAAACCACAGCGAGTATCTACAACTCCTTCACTTCTGTTCTCTTAACTCTATTTCCTACTCCCCCCCAGAGAGGAGTTATAGAGCCTGATGGCATGAGACAGACAAACAGACAAACAAAGACGGACAGACAGACAAGCAAACAGACAAACAGACAGAAAGATAGTCTTCCTATTTGGAATTGCGGACATAATAAGGATTACCAATATATCGCTGTTACAGTTATTTTAACATATCTATTTTTTCATAAATGTTGCTGATGATTTAGAGCACTTTATAAATACGGCAACAAATATATATTTCTATCGCTCTGTGAATTTCAATATTAGTGTGTTTTGTTATAGCTGTGTTCTCAACAATAGGAGCTACAGGAATAGAATAACTGCAGGTGCATCCTTATAGAAGGTCCCCGCCAACCTTCATCACGCAGTTACACCTTTGTCAGTCCGCCGTATTTAATGTAAGTTTAGACACTGATTTCAGTCTTCACGTCCTGTCTTTACTCCCCAGTTTTGCCTGTACCTCCTGGATGGCGTACTCCACAGGAACGCTCGCTAAGGGCTGCTTTGGGAAGATCTACAGGCAGAAGTACAACGACACCTGGGCTGCTGTGAAGAAGGTTCCCCAAAATCTAATCAGTCGGAAAGACCTGGAGAGAGAATGTGCAGTTTACAAGTAAGCAGGCTCACAACTACCTACTTTCTAAGGGGTATGCAGTTCAATTACAGCCGCCCTGTTATATCTGGGTGAAGACATTTCAAAAGTTCAATAATACCGCTTTTTAGGTTTTGAATCACTATCTGGTGAAATTAAGTATAACTGTCTAAATAAGAAATAACTACAAACAAGTCCCATTATTGATCTTGTCATGGTCTGTTGTAGTATTTCTTTCATTTGACTCTATTAGCAGAGGTTGGATTTTGGAAACCAAATTTCAATCCCTTTAAAATGTTTTCTTCATCCCATAAATATCTTTCTCGCTCCCTCTTCCATTTTCTGTTTTATACACATGAGAACTCTCTTTCTGACTCTCATGATGACATCACTCTCCCATTCAAAACCACTGCAAGTAAGGACGTGTTTTCCTGCTCCAGTCTCTTTTCTTATAATAAAACTCATATGCAGGCTTGACTTAAGATTTTTCCTTACTTTAAAACTAATAAAATCAAAACAGTCTATGTGAAAAAGAAAAAAATCATATTTACCTAAAGAAGAAACTCCTGCGGCTACATCAGAGCATGTTTCCTGATTAGTAAACATGTAAAAAGCTGATTTATGTTATTAAATGAGCAGCATGGTGGACAGTGGTTAGCAATATGGCTTCACAGCAGGGGCCTTTCTTTCTGTGTGGAGTTTTCTACATGTGTCTGCGGAGGTTTTCTCTGGGCGCTCCGGTTTCCTTTACCACTAAAGACATGCTGGTCAGGTCGGCCATTAGTCGGGGCGTGCTCAGTTGCAGCAGCTCAAACTTACCCTCTGTACGCTCTATAAAGAGTCGAATGAAGAATATATATTTTTAAGGTTATTTTTTAGGCTCTAGTTGCCTTTACTCTGTTATGTTTGAAAGTATGCAGACAGGAAAGTGGGTTACAAGAGAGGGAAGAGAGAGATTAGACAAACGTCAACAGCGACAGCCTGTGTTCTGTCAGATTAGCATACCCGCTCAGACCAGCAAACTCACAGTCAATACCAGTTTATCCCTTTAGTCATGTACAAAATAAAACAATTTAATTACTATCTTTTTGGTGTTTTTTTAAGCATATGGAAATCTCACCTTAAATAATTTTTTTTTGCAAATGACTAAAGGGACGCACGCCCGTCGAGGTTAGTTTAAAGTCTATTTTTCATACAAAACCTAAAGAGATAAATGCAAATCTGTCGTCTTGCGCATGCGTATAGGTATGCTGGTCTCACCCGGGGATGCTCATCTGGCAGAACACCAGTGTATGGGACATGCAATCTGTATCTTATTGAAATCTGATTTTATTGTAATGAAATAAATCTCAATGTTTAGTTCAGTGGTTCCCAAACCTTTTCCTTTGGTTTACAATAAACTTTTTGAGCCCCACTCCCTACCCAACCCTCCAAACAACTGATCTAGGGGTGGACAATACTTCATATCAATACGTTTCATTATATAACTTTATTAACAGAAGGTGATTTGACATTTCTGATATAGTTCAGTAAACATAACAGTCAATGACTGCAGCATTTATTGCTGACTAATGTTCTGGGTTTTATGTGTTTTTGATTTTAAAATAAATAGGTCTGAAATGTTAGAACTATAACCTTGGAACAATAATTATCGACTACTAAAATGCATTAATAGGTCAAAGATTTTAGACTTTATTGGTAAAAAATGAAACATTGTTGAATTAAATGGATGATTTCCTGACCTTATGTCAGAGAACGCTGTCAGTGTCTGATGTCCTCCTTCACATCTTTTGATCTGCAGCAAAGCCGAACATCCCAACATAGTGAAGCTTCTGGGCAACATAACACTCACAGATGGTAAATGGATTATTCCACTGGAGTTCATCTTTGGAGAAGATTTGGAGACAACAATCTTCATGGCAGCAAAGTCCAAAATACAGGTACTTTTTTATTATTATTATTTTTTTTTTAAAAACACACCAAAGATACCTGTTTTTTTTTTTTTGGGGGGGGGGGGGGGGTTTGCCTTTAAGCTAAAATGTGCTGGTTGTGGGTTTTTAGCAACAACTGAAATTTGTATGAAATCAAATATTTTTTGAAGATTTAATTTCTGTATTTATTCATTCTTCATCTTATGATAAATTAGTGTTATTTAAAACGTTTAAGCATTTAGGATTTTAAAGATAAAAGCTCGTCTGGTTGTTTTAGGGTTAATGTGTTGCTGTACCTGTTCTCTATGACCGAAGCTGGACCGAGACTCTGGAGCAATCGGCCTTTGAATATTAGTGCAGTCTGGTCTCTTTGCATCTTTAAGTCTTTATTAAAAACCCGCCTCAACTCAATTCTATTCAGTTTTTTTCTATAGCGCCGATTCACAACACATTTCATTTCAGGGCACTTTACAGTTCACCAGATCATCCATCTAAGGAAAACCAGTTGATTGCATCGACTCATTGACTAGAAGGCAATCCCTCACACTAAGCATGCTTGTAGCGACAGTGGAGAGGAAAAACTCCCTTTTAACAGGAGGAAACCTCCAGCAGAACCAGGATCAGTGTGAGCGGCCATCTGCCGAGGCTGTATGGGGTTCAAGAAACCTGTTCGAAATGGCCTTTAATTCCCTTTTACCATTCTTAATATTCTAATTTCACATTGTGTGTTATTCAATATATTTATATTGTTCCTTGTGTACTGCGCTTTGGACAGAGGAATCTGTATTAAATGTTCTATATAAAAAAGCTGAGGTCGACTTTGACATGCCACAACAAATTCAGATTTTAGTCTTCCAGTATGCAGTTGATCTTTAGCCTGAAGGTAAAACAGCAGCTCAGTATGATCCAAGTATTGGTTTGAACTTGATCTTCCTGTTTTTTTTTTTTTCATTTTTCCAACAGTTGAATGTTTCAAATAAAGCCACCATCACTACTGGCATGTGTGAAGGTTTGCTTCACCTCCACCTGAACGATATCGTCCATCAGGATCTGAAACCTGAAAACATCATGGTGAGTGGAAGCTCAGGCTAAGCTCTGCATCAAAGTCACTCAGTGAAATATGAGGACGAGTGAATCTGAAGGAGCTGGCATTGATTTAGAGCTGAAACAATATTAATATTAAGCATAATTAATCAGTTATTAACATAATAAAACTAATTTGTTTATCGAAATATTACCTATAATAATGGTACAGAGACTCTAACAGATTCATTTTCCCCAAAGGAAAAGCGTAATTACAGCAGTAATTAAAACAAATAGCTACAAGAAACAAACATTTTGGCAAGCAGAAAAATAATTTTGACTGGTTTTATTTTTATTGAACAACAAGTAAAATCAGAAAATGATTTTAAAAACACAAAGACTGAAAACCTTCAGAAACATCACAACTATGATTGCTTCTTGTTTTAAATTATCCTACCAATATATGTATAAATAATATTTCATAATGTGCAAATAATCCTCTTATAGATAATAGCATTTCTATCAATTTCAAATGAATCCAATTGTGTCACAATGATTTTTGGATTTCTTCTGAAATCCACTCCTGGTTCTGAATAATGACCAAGAATACTTTATTATTTCCAACAAGTCTTTCTCATAAAACCTATTTTTATTTAGAATTGTGAATCCCTTTACTGTCGCACAACAGAGAAAGTAATCCTCTAAATTTAACCCATCCCCTTGGGGAGCAGTGGGCTGCCATTGTGCGGCGCCCGGGGAGCAGTGTGGGGTTAAGGGTCTTGCTCAGGAACCTCGAGTGGCAGTCTGTGGGATTGAGTGGGGCTTGAACTGCATCATAATTGAGTGATTGTGTGTAAGGCAAGGCAAGGCAAGGCCAGGCAAATTTATTTATATAGCACAATTCAGTACAAAGACACTGCAAAGTGCTTTACATGATTAAAATATAGGAAAATAAAACAGAATCAAAGCAAGTAGAAAAAAAACAAATAAATAACATAAAATAAAAAATGCAGAAACAAAAAAGAATATTAAAAACGGTTGAACTGTTTAACTAGAACAGTCAAAGGCAATCCTAAACAAATGTGTTTTTAGTCTTGATTTAAAAGAACTCAGGCTTTCCGCACTTTTACAGTTTTCTGGAAGTTTTTTTCTAGATAAGTGGAGCATAGGAACTAAATGCTGCTTCTCCATGTTTAGTTCTGGTTCTAGGTATGCAGAGCAGGCTGCAGCCAGAAGACCTGAGTGGTCTGGAGGGTTGATACACTGATAGCAAGTCTGTGATGTATTTAGGTGCTAAGACATTCAGAGATTTATAGACTAACAGAAGTATTTTAAAGTCTATTATCTGAGATACAGGGAGCCAGTGGAAGGACTTTAGAACTGGGGTGATGTGCTCTACTTTCTTAGTCTTAGTGAGGACACGGGCAGCAGCGTTCTGGATCAGCTGCAGCTGTCTGATCCACTTTTTAGGCAGACCTGTGAAAACACTGTTGCAGTAATCAATTCAACTAAAAATAAAATCATGGATTAGTTTTTCCCACAGTGGGCGATATAACTTTCCTTAAATTGATCTGAAAAAAAGAGCAGTGAAGAGATAAATGTACAGAGAGACTGTTTTAAGAAAAAAACAAACACATAAGTTCTGTTCTACTTAGGTTTTTGTTTTAGAATCTTTCATTCCTTTCAGAAAAAAAAATATAGGAGGAAAGAAGATGATAACTTTTATTAAATTTGTTAAGTAGATCGTTTAGACTCAAATTCTTTAAAAACATGGAACAAATTAAGTCTTTTAATTAAAAAACATTTAAGTGCAAAACACGCTGACAGAAAGCCTCAAAAATGCTTAGAAAAATATTTGTGGTAATCAAATAGACAATAATGATGGAGGTCTTTTCTAACATTTTGAGTTTGCTCTCTTAATAATATCTAAATGCACATCTGCAGCTGTAAAATCAACACTATTTTAAGCGAGTGCAGAAAATAAACCCTTTTTGTGCATTTAGATTTCTTTAAAATGGGAAAAAAAGAAAAAGGATAGAAATTTAACTTTATTGTCCCACTATGGAGAAATTAACTCTGCATTTAACCCTCCCCTTGGGGAGCAGTGGGCTGCCACTGTGCAGCTTTGCAATAAAATGGGGGATTAAAATATTATCTAAATTATATAAATAAATAAAAAATCCTATAAAACCTTTTCAGTTGTAATTGTTTTATGTAATAGTTATAAACTGTATTTTTGATCTAATAAAGACATTTTGAATTTTAATTCTTTAATTTCTGATTTCTGTTAGGTGGAACATGGAACAAACAGAGCCGTCATCATTGATCTTGGACTGGCTAAGTTTTTCAGACATGGTCTAAACTCAGCCATAGACATGGGGAACGAGGCGTACTCGGCTCCTGAAGTCCTGGAGAGGAGAATTCAACGGAGTCAGCGTTCAGACGTCTGGGCCATGGGGAAGATCATTGCGGAGCTTTATGCTCGGATACGGCTTCACACGCCCACTGTCTGTCCTGCTAAGATCAGAGAGACGATGCAGGGTCAGCCCCACTGTGATGCTGTGTGCAGGATGGTGGAGCCTGACCCTTCTCGCAGGGCCACCATGGCTTTGGTCATAGATGAGATTCGAAACGCTGGAAGACAAGCTAATGGAACCAGAGCAGCAGTTCCAAAAGATTTTCTAAAACCACCACAGGCGGATAAGCCTGTCAGACATAGGTCTTCATCACCGCCGCGCAGAGCTGCAGGCCGGCTGAACAGAAACCCCAGAGATCCATCTCCGTTTCACAAAGACAGATCTCCATTACCATATAAATGGGAGCAAACACCCAGACCAGAAATCAAACCTCTGCGCCCCCAGATAGGGGCTCACAATTCTCCCTTCCCCAATCTGGCACGGGACAAAAACAGGAACCCGGCTTTGGCCCAGCCAGGCAGGACAGACGTGATGCCTGATCTCACAAGGATAAGGTTAGACAACGAAGCAGCTAAGGAACTGCCCAACAACTTACCAAAATCAGGGAAGGTGGTGGTGCGGCGCATTGAGCAGAAAAATGGAAAGATTGAAACGTGGGAGCAGACGGTCGTGACTCAGGATGGAAAGATTATCAAATATGAAGATGTTAAGATTAATGGCTGAATAACATCCATGTTTTTAAAGACAACAAATTGAACAACAACAAAAATCTGAGAGAACAATGGTGAGAAACCCTGGAGGACATGAACAGTTCCTCAGGAACAAGGATCTAATATGTGAGGTGAAAAGTGTTGATAAGTCTGCACATGGCACCATAAAACAAGGCTGATTGCAGGAAAAGGGAAGATGGGACATGAAATGAGGTGGAAATATGTCCGACTAAAGAAGAGGAAACGCGTATCTTCTTTCTTGTTGAGCCGTTTGTCAAGATGGCTACTCTTTTCCCTCTGTTTTTATCTATAAACTATCTACCTATCTGACCTTTTCCTCTTTTATGTTTTTTATTTATTGTTTCTCATATAAATCTTAGACTTTTTAATGTTGTTGTTTACATCAAACTTAAATTCCTCACCATTTGGTTTTGTTTGGTCCAAACTTTAAATGCTCCACCCTTCCAGAATAATTTTCTTGAACTAAGGCCCCGTCCACAAGAAAGTCAAAACGAACACGAAACGCTAATATTTTCCAGAACGTTTGTCGTAAAGACGGAGGCGTAAAATAAATGTGATCGACCACACGAATGCATGAAAACGCTGCAAAATGTATGCCAGGCCTGTAAGTGGCGCTGTGGTGCCAAAGCAAAAATAGGCGAAAACAGGCAACGAAATGTTGGGCATGCGCAGTAATATTTATACAACAGCCAAACCGGAAAACCGGAAAATGGCCCTGCGGAACCATTTTCGTGGTTCGGTCAAATTGAGGTGCTGAACTATGTCGTCGATATTGCTCTGTTCTTCCTGGAGATATTCCAGAAGAAGAAGATTCTGTTGTAAGCCCGACAGAAGGGTGAGTAGCATGAACAGCAACCATTCAACACAGTATGGCGCCATTGTTGTTGTGATAGTGTCGCGCATGCGTGTTTAGAGGCGACGCTATGATGCATGCGTGTAAGAAAAAATGCGGTTAGAGCTTAAAGATGGAGCCGCGAAAACGGCGTTTCAAAATCTTCCCACTCTGAAGGCTTAATTAAAAAAAAGATCGTTTACCCCGAAACGCCGGCTTCGTATGGATGAGAGGCTGGTTTGGTGAAAAATGAGTGCGTTTAGGCCAGGGTTTGACTTCATGTGGACGGGGCCTAAGTCTGATCTGCATCATAAAACCTGAGTTATCTCAGTGTCCATCTGGGCCTGAAACTGGTTGTAATATAGTTAATGTCAGGGTTCCTGTGTGTCAGTGAGTGCGAGTTATGCATCTCCTCCAGAGAGGATCTTTGGTGAGAGCCTGGGTAGCCTGCACAGGTGAAGATAACCTTTCTGATCAGAGGCCTCAATCAGGTTTATTGTGTTGTTAAAGTTGTTTCATTGCTTTCTTGTCTCTTGCTTCCTTTCCCTGACGTTTATTGGTTTTTGTTTGGTTTTCAGTATTTTTGGATTTTTGCCTCGGTTCCCCTTGGACTTTCATTAAATCATCAAACACTCATCTGTGCCGACTCCTCTCTGAATTTGGGTCCTCAAAGGATCCACACAATCTGACAGTTAACTCTTTCTTGGCTTATAGAGCTTACAGATTTTGGAAAATAACCCAGCGAGAAGTTGTGTGCTTGATGATACCATTGTTGAATTTATTCAATTTTATTGGGTTTCCATGTAAAACAAGTTGTAGATGTTGTGGAGGTGGCAAATGAAGAAAAAACATTGGCTTAAAAATTAAAGTTGGTTATAAACCTTTGGTCCAAAATTGTTTTAATATTCCAATTCATCAAAAATATTTCTTTGACAAAAACTTTAATAAAATTGGATTTTAGTTTTCCTTTTGCTTTGAAATGTGAAATGTGGACCAGTTAAACATCTATCAGTTGTTCTTGTAAAGTTCGGATTGAATTTGGCCTCATTCCAAATCCTTCATGCCTTTTGAACACACATATTTACATTTAAATTCTCCCTTACACACCGTTTCATTGGTTGTCGGTTTCCCTTTTGTTCTAACCCTTCCTGTATTCTCTTCATTTTAGTGATTAGGTTAAAGGTGAATTGTACCATTAAAAGAGTTTATTGACAAAAGCATTTTATCTGGAAGTGGAAGGATTATGTTAATAAATTCTTGAATTCTGTAGAAAGTTGTTTTGTGGTCATTCTGCATTTCTGTGGAGGGCTCGTTGATTGATGCTGCCAGTGCGGGAATTCACTCCTTCCTCTATTTTTAACTACCACACCTCACTCTGCAGGTTTCCATGAAACAACAACTGAATAAGACTCATAGCTATTTAAGTATTAACACCTGATACTCATATGGTCCTTTGAATGAACTCTCTGAATACTTTCCTCAGGTTATTATTTATAGTGATTCATAGCTGAACCAAACCTCATGTTACACGAAAAACCCCAGAATGGACTTCCTTGTACCATCCTGTTAATTCTTTCCTTATTTTTAGTTTACTTGTCATGCTTCCTGTTAGGATAAAAACTATAAAAAGGATTGGATTTCCTACAAAGAAAACCTGATCAAGCATCATGTCGATCCTAATCTTTGAAATCAACGTTTAGTAAAGTGAGTCAGCTGTGAAAACCTCGCTGTATCATGAACGGTGGGCCTGATCTGTTACCTCTGAAGTGAATCAGAGGGTTCCCTGTGACAGAAAGGCTAGACAAACAGACACATATCTTAATGCTATGATTCACACATTTCCTTGTTCCTCTCAAGCAAATCAACACAAACACACTTCTCTTCTGGTTCGGAAAACATTGAAAAAAAAAAAAGAAACGCCATAACATCAGTAAATATTTAAAAAATGTACTAAAACTAGTCTTAAACGTAAGACAAACATGATGGGGGTAAAAAAAATTAAAGCTGTTTATACCTGGCTGTTGGATATTAAGAAACAACTTTATGATATCTTGAATTTTAGAATGATTTAAGTTCAATTGAGTTTATTTATATGGGGCAAAGTCACAAAACATGTCATCTCAAGGCACTTTTAGAGATAGATCCCGCAGATTATACAGTCAAGTGGATTAAAAGTTTTCTATCTAAGGAAAACCAGCTGATTGCATCGACTCATTGACTCAAAATCAATCCCTCAGACCAATCATGCTTGTAGCGACAGTGGAGAGGAAAACTCCCTTTGAATAGGAAGAAACTTCCAGGATGAGTGGGGTTCAAGGAGACAGAACCAGACATATAGAAAGACGCAAAGATACAAAAGGCAACTTTCAACCATCTCCACAGGCAGTCCTGTCTAGGAAAGATGCAGGTGAGCTCCGAGCCAGCTCTCATGTCAGAGGATGAAGAGAGCACATCCAGTAAGTCACAGTCAGAGAAACAGGACTACATTGAAAAAAACAGACCAAGCTCCAATATCTATAAACAAAGGCATTGATGGCAGCAGCACAGCTGATATTTCTCTCCAGGATGGAGTCACAGCCAAACAGGACCAAACCAGATGAAGCTACTATGATGAGAAAAAGCAGAGAGATCATAAAGTCAGAGACTGAACTAACAAATACTGCAGAATGGGAAAATAGAGATAGAATGAAGCAAAATGATAAAAAAAGGGGTCCCCGTGTCCTCCAGCAGTCTAAGCCCATAGCAGCACAACTTTAGAGGTAGCACTGGTTAACCTGAGCCTCTCCGACTATAAGCTTTATGAAAAAGAAAAATTTTAAGCTTTTTTCATAAGCTTTTGGATCACATTAAGGCTTTTAACAACCATTTGTGGACTTCCTGATAGTAAAGAACTCCAATAGTTCAGACTTAAAGCAACAAATGCATGGACTAGTTTCTCAGCATCACCCCAGGACACCATATTTACATTTTTTTTATTAAAAAAAACAGTGTCCTGTCTGGCAATGTGGCATTAAGATTAATTGTCTTGATGCCAAAAAGAGCCCAACAGATTTTACTTTCACAAGTGTAGCAGTATGGCAATTGCCATACTGCTACACTTGTTTCATGCATATAAATTGCTTTATTATAATTATGCAGGGAGTTTTACAGCTTATATGGACACTGCAATGTAAATAGAACAGAAGAGGAAAAACCGAAGAAGAACAAGAAAAAAAACATTTTTTTTTCAATATTTAATAAAAGAAGGAAATTCTAGAAACCTTTTTAATATGGGATTCAAATGAGAGGTCTCAAAAATAATATATTGTGGCGGACCACTAGTGGGCTCCACTCTCACTCAGTGGAGAGGCTGTAGTTATGTTTGTTCGGATGTGTATATATATGGATTTTCTGTACAGTTGCTTTCAGTTGAGTAAAAGAGTTAAGAACTGTTTAAACCTGCCTGCTTTGTGTCATAATTTTCACTCCTCCACAATATATATTTTTTTACTTTATTATCTGAAATAATTTTAATCCCATCCAAGACTCTGGTCCAAAGACTATAACTTTTGTTTTGCTGCATTCAGAAGCAGAAAGTTTAGTCATGCAGGTTTTTATGTCTTCAAGACATGTAATTCATCTAATGGGTAAGCTTTACCTGGATTTATAGACAGATATAGCTGAGTATCATCAGAATAACAATGAATAAATGAATGAAAAGGAACTTATTTCAGACAGATATCAACAGTCACCCGTTTGCCTGTCATAAAATAACTGTTTATCCAGAGCTGTCCTTCTCCCCGGATGCCATAACGCTCCAGTTTCTTAATTAATAGTGGAAAATGTTTCCATGCTCTCCAATAATTTAAGTGAGAATTTGATTGAAAAATATATACAAGCTAAAGATCAAGCAACAAAAATAAATAAAAAAAGCTACAGAGGTTCCGTCAGTTGATGACATCAGTCTGCCAGCAGATGGTGCTGTTAGACTGTTTATTTTCTCGGGAGGAGACGTTTGAATCTTTTCAAGTGAGGAAAACTAGAGTAATGCCATTTATCAAGGTTTAAGATGAAAGGGAACACCTTAACAAACCGCTTGTTTGTTAAAAAAGTGATCTAGATAAAGACACACAGATAATGTTTATGTCCAAATGAGCGTTCTTCTTTTGTACACAAGCTTACATGGTCCAATCATGACATTTGGAGGTCAAGCTGATATACAGTAAGTGATAAATGTTTTCACAGGAGGTATTGCTTTCATACGTTTAATGTTAAAAAGAAATTCTGTTAGGAAAGTGTTTCCGCTGTCTTGAATTTTTATTTCTCAATTACATTTCTTTGTTTTAACTATCTTATTGTGGTCTTTGCTTCAGCTACTACAGCTAGAAACCACAGATTACGG